GGAATAATTTTTTCATTTTCTTGTACTGAAATAAGAAAATGTATTTCATTTTCCCTAAATGAAGGTAGAAACTAAATAAAATTAACATTCATAAAGATTAGCATTGCAGAATAGGATTTATGCTACCAATAAAAAAAAATCATAGAGTCTTTCAAATTAATATGTCTTACTGTCTTTCTCTAATGCTCCTGGTTTACCTGTAGCACATCAGACAAGGTAATAATTTATGATAATCACATGAAAATATACAATTAATATTCATCACCTCTCATTCCTCATCACTTTAGATGATCAGTAATGCAGAGTGAAAATGCTGTCAGATTTCTAATTGCTTTGTAATGGGCCTGAAACAGGGAAATCATTAAAGGCAAACAATCTGTCATTTGTCTGTTTCTTTAACTATCTATCACACAGAAAAACTCATTAAAGAAATTGCTAATGAGCTACGGAAGACTATACTTACGGTACATCTCCAGTAGATTAAAAAATAATACTATGAATTGCTTTAAATATTTTCAAAATAATATTTTTGTGGAAATTCATCAGAGAAGATCTACTCTTCACTGTATTTTTTAAGCTGTGTGGTTTCGTTATTTTGGCATCTAATCCATCATTACAAAAAAAAAGCTTCAGCATATAAGATTTGTTATTCATCAGTCTCTAAATAATTAAATCGAAAGGTTGCAAGAAGAAGCTGAAATGCTAAATGTGTTTATTACTAGTAAACTGACTCAAGAAGTAAAAAATAGTGCTATGGTAACCCTGAGGCTAAATGAAGGATGTATTTTTAAAATTACCCTCATATCTCTGTGTATTTGTACTGTTGAAGTTGTAATGCTTCATTCATCTTAAATAATGCTACCATGATACAAATATTATATTCAACTACTGAAATTAAGCATAACCTTAAACTCTGCATAAAGACATCACTACTTTGAAATTTTTTCAGTTATTAACCAACACTAAAATGTTTCATAATATTTTTAAAGAGAAAGACAAATAATTTCTTTAAACATCTACATCAAATTTTACATGTCTTATTAATGCTACCATTCTATATGAGATACTTGGTGGCTGTATTTTAAAAATCTATGATAATGACAAGAATCTAGTTTAAAAAACAAATAAGCATATAAACAAACATAATCCAGAAATGTTTTGTTAGCTATATAGTCCAAATGCATTTTATTTTAGAAGAATTATGAGAGTATCATAGATAGCACTCTTATTTTGTTTTTCATTTTGGTAATGAACTAAATCATGTATTTATTTCCTATAAAAACATAATCTTAGTAATAAAGTCAAACTTCTTTTAAATATGTATATCTATATATATGCATTGGAATACACACACATTTTTAAACCAAAATGCAATGACATGCCTTGCCTGGTGCTATGATATGTATCAGTGAATTCCAAGCTAACTTCAAAGGTTCCATAACACTCTGGAAACGTCTTCATTATACTCCCTAATTGACTTAAACAGACTTCATATCAACTATTTAACACATTTTAATCCACAAATTAACACCTTTTGATCATTCAGATTAACCTTTCTTCTGTGAGTCAATTACATGACAAAAATAATATAAACTTTTAAAAATTATTCAGGTTTAAAAAATTACAATGGAAGAATACTTTCTAAAAAAAAAAAAAAAATAGCATATAAATGCATTTCACCACATGGTCCAAAGAGACCATCACAAAGTTTCAAATTTTGAGGTAATTGGAAAGCTCACAGAAAAGCCACAGTGATCATAAGAATAAAAAAGGGGTAAAGAACTGAATAGGGGAAATCATAAGATGGCATTACTAAAAAACAAAACAAACCAAAAACACACACACAACAAACACACAAACACACACAGAAAATGCATTTTACATAGAATCTTTAACAGATTCAGGCAAAGATTAAAACTTCAGATGTAAAGAAGTTAGGAAGACAGGAACAAAATTCTCAGATAAGATAAAAGACCTTTAAGAGGTCAGAAACAAGCTTGAAAGACATTGACAAAACTGAAAAGAAAAAAAATAAGGAAGAAAAGGAAAACACAGCAACAGGGGTGACAGCAAAACCTATTTACCTCTTTGACTTTCATATTTAGTGCATTGCCTTACTCGAAGGCAATGAATGTTCAATGAATTATTGCTGAAAAGGTGAGAGACTAGATCAAATGAAGACAACCAGCAAGGAGCAAAAAGGCAAAAATGAAAAACCATTTCTGAAAGATGAGGCAGGATTGTTCATTAGATTCTCAATAAGCTTTATGATAATCTGCCACCTCACAAAACTAAGTTTCTCTAATTCTAGCCATTCATCTCTTTCCTCACTCAAAACATTATTTAAATCACATGTGTCAAACACAAGGCCCGCGGGCCAAATCCGTCCCGCCAGGCCTTGCAATGTGGCCCGCACTGCGCTGTCATCACTGCACTCCGCTGCGTTTCCATCACAATGACAGTTTATGACTGTTCAGTAAACCATTCGGCCCGCGATTTAGGCTGGATATTAGATTTTGGCCCCTTCTCTGATTGAGTTCGACACCCCTAATTTAAATGAACACTTTCATACATCTTCCTGGATTAGCCTAATTTTGATTCAAGAATTTCAATCATTCAAGTAATCTGCTTATTCTATTCATGTAAGTTATTAACTGTCATAGTCCCTCTTATTTCTTTTGGCATAGTACTTTCCACAGGTATTTCTGTTCTTTATTTAATTGTTGTCTATACTGATAAATTCTAAGCTTCTAAGAGGGCTACAGCCAACTGTTTTGTGTCTTTTGTAACAGAGTGTGAGACACATAGTAAACACTCAATAAATATTTACTGAATGAAAAAGTGAATGAAAGCTATGTATGTACTATATCATTTTGTGTGTGTGTGTGTGTGTGTGTGTGTGTGTGTGTGTGTGTGTGTGTGTGTGTTTTATCTCATCACTAGCTAATTCTGTCTTCCCATTAGATTCTAAATTGCTCTAGGGGCAATAATTTAATTTTAGAATATAACTATAATATTCTGTGGTACTTAAATATAGCTTAGGTCAGTAATATAAAAATCCTAAAAATTCAGAGGTAAGTAAGATCAAGGGAATTAAAAAAGAGTTGGCTAAATGAACAAACAACCCAATTAAAATATGGGCAGAGGGCATGAATAGACACTTCTCCCAAGAAGACATGCAAATGTAATACAGATATATGAAAAGATGTTCAATCTTATTAATAATTAGGGAAATGCAAATTAAAACTAAAATGAGATACCACTTCACACCTGTTAGAATGACTATTATCAACAAGACAAGTAATAACAAAGGAGGGAGAAGTTGTGGAGACAAGGGAACCCTCATTCACTGCTGGTGGGAATGTAGACTGGTACAGCCACTATGGAAAATAGTCTGGCCATTCCTCAAAAATTTTAAGAATAGAGTTACCATATGATCCAGCAATTCCTCTCCTGGGTATATACCAGAAAACTGAAAAACATATCTTTGAAATGATATATGTACCCCTATGTTCATTAACATTGTTCATGGTGACCAAGGTATGGAGACAATAAAAGTTTCCAATGATAGAAGACTGGATAAAAATGTGGTACATACACCCAATGGAATAACTACTCAACCATAAGAAGAAAATGAAACACTGCCATTGGGTCAACATAGATGGACCTTAAGAATATTATGCTAAATGACACAAGCCAGATAGAAAGAGCTAAGAACCATTTGATTTCATTCATATGTGGGATATAAAACTGAAACTTGTGGACACAAACAGCAGTGTGGTATTTGCCAGAGGGAAGGGGTGGAGGTAAAGGAGCATGTGGGTGAAGGAGACATAATCTATGGCCTTGGAAGATAATTTGACTTTGGGTAATGGATACACACTGCAATATACAATACAAATCTGGCATCTTAGAAATCAACACCCGAAATCTATATAATCCTATTAGCCAATGTCACCCCAATAAATTTCATTAAAAAAAAAAATAGTTGGCAAAGAAACCAGTAAAAGAGCCAGGTAAATATAATCCTAGGATAAGAAAAAAATTAGCAGAAGTATGCTGTAGCTATTGCAAATGTTATCCACCATTAAAAGCACAATATTACTAATATGATCTCAAATTAAAACCGTGTTAATGTGTGGTGGTCATCAACACATTAGTTATGGACAGGCAGGTACTAAAATGACAGACTAAATAAGAATGTGATTTTTTTTTTTTAACTAAAACTACAACCCAGGGCCTTAAATCCCTGCTACATTTATAGCTATAGCTATTTTTAGGTATTGTACTTAATCAATCACCATGAAATCAAACATTTAATGTACCTTGCTATGTTTATGCTAGTTACATAGGAATGGAGTTCTTGCCCACACTTTTACCGTAATTTATTCTGCAAACTATAGTTCAACAAACATTTGGGTTTTATTTCATTTTTCTAAATGTGAAAGGGCTTGGAAGTGTGTGTGTGTGTGTGTGTGTGTGTGTGTGTGTGTGTGTGTGTTTATCTTTTAAGCCAGACGTTAACATATAAATGAAACATCTTGGCTTAACATCTTTTCCAGAAAAAAAATTTTTTTAACTGAAAAAACAAACTATTCGGCACATGTTTTACTTCTCTTAATGTTCGAATGAGAACATTCTAAGAGAAGTATAGGGACTTGAGAGGAATCAGTTCTCATTCTTAACCCCCCACCCCGCCATAATGCATTCACCAACCACAAAACTGGGAGCAGCGCCGGGTAGGACGCTTTGGGGGTGGCGGGGGCAGCCGGAGGCATGAGGGCAGGCTCGCTGGGACAGGAGAGAGAAGCGAGGGAGAAGAGGGAGTTTAAAAGAAGGAGAAAGGTTCCTTTCCCTAAAGCTCAAGCACTTACTGCTGCTGCTGCTCCAAAACTCCTTAGAAGCATCCACTGGGTACCATAGCAGCGACTGGTTACCATAGCCACCGCGTCCTGGAGGGCGGAGCGACGCTTCCGCGTAGCCACGCGGCCACTACGCCTCGACTTGGGAACGTGGTCACGTGAGAGCAATAACTTCCGGCGGAAAGGGAAGCCGGTTCCGAGTTTTGCCGAACGGCTGCGAGGGTCCTGTTCAGAGGCCTCTATGAAGTTTGGTAAGTTCGATTTCGAGTGGAGCTGGGGAGGGTACTCGCCTGTGAATTCAGTGAATTCCGAAAACCCATTTTGGAGGAGGTCTTGCTGTCGCCTTAAGTCCACAGCTGTGGGCAGAGGTTGCCTGGTTTCCGGGCTCCTGGAGGGGTCTCCTCTGTAGCCTGGAGACTACAGGGGGTACGGTTTCAGGGGGCTCCCCCAATAGCAGAGGGATTATTCTTGCTTGCTACCTCAAGGGTGATGGGCTGTTTCTCTTGGTCTTAAAAAATAATTTGGAAGAGAAGAAGTGAACTAGGACATTTCAGAGGGAAGGCTCCCAAATTCATCATAATTCTTTGGTCTTTTTGCTTTGCTTAAAAACAAACATTTGTTGTGTAAACATTTAGTAAGCTCCTTTAGTGTATTTAGTGAGTACCTACTGTGTGCCACGTATACCATAAGATCAGCAGAAATACCTTCTTACAGTGTAATCCATCGCTCGGGTTCACTATCGAATTCAGTTGTTTTCAGTGCTGTTGTGTATTCCTTAATTTAAGACTTAAGGGTATAGCATGAAATATCCAACAAGTTTTCCATACATGTCTGTACTGTTATACATGAAATTCTTGGAGTGTTTAAAATTTTTTAAATTTATTTTTAGAGAGAGAGGAAAGGGGTAGAGAGAGGAAACAGAGAGGTACATCAATTTGTTGTTCCACTTATTAGTGCATTCATTGGTTGATTCTTGTATGTACCCTAACCAGGTATCGAACCTACAACCTTGGCTTATTTGAAAGCGCTTTTTAACAAACTGAGCCATTCAGTCAGGGTTCTGGAGGGTGTTTTAAACAAAAATATATGCTTCATTAGGTTTGTATTATAATAATGATTCAGTCAATTAAATATCTAAATTTTAAAGAACTTAGAAAAGCAGTTCTTGCTTATTTCATACCTACATGCAAACTGTAATGAATTTAATTAATTGTAATCAATATTTTTATTCAGCTTATCAGAGAAGGCCCACATGTTCAGTGGATGATGGCATTTGGGCAGATACCAAAAAAGGATTGGTACAGCATTCTGGGAGCAAACCCATCTGCAAGTATGGCTGATCTAAAACAAAAGTATCAAAAACTCATATTGATGGTAAGTCTGGTTATTTCAGATTTTAAATCATTGGGGAGGGACAGGGGGAGATTAGTTTTTCTTATATGACCAGAAATTTTTTTCCATAAAATGAACATGATATTCAAGCAGGAATCATAGTATTTATATGGTGAGTTGAAAGTTTCAATCATATTGTTAAAAAAAAAAAAAAAAAGTTAGTTTGAGGTGGGATAGATTGGCAATTTGAAGCAGGAAATCTGAGTTATTCTGTTTCTACCACTCAATGTGAGAACTTGGACAAGTTACTTTCCCCTGTATGTGCCCCTGTGAGGTATCATATATATAAAAGGCTAATATGCTAAGTATCCCTCCCTATGTCTGACCTGTTGCTTTGGGGCAGATGCTCATTGCAGGAGCTGCTGAGCTGCAGTGACTTAGCAGTGGCGGTTCTTAGGTGATGCACCCTAAAACCAGAAAGGAGTGAGTCTGATTCCTCACTGGGCTGCACAGTTCCACCTTTCGCTCTGGGTTATGTTGTTGCCGGGGCAATTTGGCCCTTAATCTGGTTTACTGCACACTTGGATTTGTGTGCCATACCCTGTATGACAGCAATATTGCAGAATGCCCTCTCACACTCCAGGACCCTTTAGGGGATGTCGGAGAGCCGGTTTCAGCCTGACACCCAAATACCAGGCCGAAGGACCCCATCTACTAGAGGGACCCCCACTCACTATGCAGATGCCTTTCGAGCCATGGCACCACCCCAGGTGCATCTGGCAAACCCGGGAGGTTGATCCAGGGTGTGTCCAGCCCATCATTAAGTCCCGCCCAGTGTGCATGAATTCATGCACCTGGTCACTAGTAATGAAATAATCATGTAAAATGCTTAAAAGTGTTCATGTGATCAGCATTAGCATCCAGCAGCTACTAGCTACATATTGCTATTGAGCACTTAAAATGTAGCTTAGTTCAAACCCAGATATGCTGAAATAAATATAAAATACAAATTGGATTTCAAAGATTAGTACAACCCCCCCCCCAAATAATCTAATATTGTTTTGCTGATTACATATTGAAATGATAATATCTTGGATGTATTGTCTTTTGCATATTTAAACACAATATATATGATTATATTTGCACAAATAAAGAAATTTATTATCAAAATTGATTTCATCTTTTTACTTTTTTAACATTGTATGTGTCTTGCAATTATATTTTCATGACTGGATATTGAACTTTGATAGATTTAAAAAAATATATTTATTGAAGTTTGCATATATTAATTTCCTCCTTTAATCCAGGTTCCATAGATTTTTTTTAATGTTAAATCTTTTATGCATTCTTAGTATAAACAAATCTCACTTATTCATGAAATATTATAGTTTTTATATGTTGCAGGATTTTAATTGCTGTTATTTTGTTGAGGATTTTTATGGCTAGATTTATGATGTCCAGGCCTAAATATAATATCACAGATATGCTGGTTCCATAAAATAATTGGGGAATTATTCTATTTTCTTTCTTTTCTGAAAGATTGTATGAAATTGCCTTAATTTTTTATGTAAATGTTTAATAGAATTTACTAGGCAGTTATAGTTATCAAGAATTTGTCCATTAGTTTATGAAGTTAAATTTATTATCATAATGTTCATACTATCTTGTTATTCTTGAATTGCTATAAGGTATATAGTTATGTTTTTCCTTTTATTCTTTACATTGGCATTCTTTTTTTTTCTTTTTTCTTTTTTTCCTGATCAGTCTTGGTAGAGGTTTATCTCTTTTATTAATCTTTGCCATGAACTAACTTTTACTTTGTTGATTTTTTGGTATTGTTTGTCTGTTTTTCTTGATTTCCGCTTTTAATTTTGTTATATCCTTTCTTCTACTTCTCTTTTCCACCTTATTAATGAAGAAACTTTCATTGTTATTGATTGTACACCTGTCTTCTTTTCTAAGCCAGAAGCACAAATTTTGATGTGTATTTTCATTATCATTTAGTTCAAAATATTTGAAAATTTCTCCTGTAATAGTTTTCTTTGTCCTGTGGGTTACTAAGAAAAAACATTACTTAACTTTAAAATGTTGGAAAATATTCAGATCTTTCTATTACTGATTTCTAATTTAATTCTGTTAGAGTTGGAATTCATTAAAACTTTTTTATGGTTTAGTATATGGTCTATCTTGGTGAATGTTTCCAATCACTTGAAAATTGTGTACTCCATTATTGAATATAGTGTTCTGTAAATATCTATTGGGTTATATTGATATATTGTTCAAATATTCTATATTATAAATTTTTTAAATTTGTCTTATCAATTTGTGATTGTGGACTTTACTATTTTTTCTTCAATTCTATTGAAATTTTTAATGTATTTGGTTTTATTTTGACTAGGTAAATATATATTTAAAATTTTCATCTGCATGAATTTGAACCTTTGATCATTATAAAATTCCCCTCTCTATTTCTCATAGTACTCTTCTTGGCATCTACTTAGGTATTAAAATAGTGACACCAGCTTTTATGCACTGTGCTTGTATGGTTTATTTTTAACTATCCTTTCAGTCTGTCTCTTTTATGTTTAAAGTATGTTTTCTTGTAATATAGTGAATAATTAGGGTTAAAAAACTCCCATCTGTCAATCTCACCCTTTTTATTGGTGGTGTTTATTCCATTTACATTCCTCCCCACCCTCACTAGCTTTAATGAGATATAACTGGCATATATCATTGTGGAAGTTTAAGGTGTACAATGTGATGATTGATACATATATATTTTGTGAAATGATAAGCACACTAAAGTTTGTCATCTCACATAGTTACCATTGTGTAGGGGGGTGTGTGTGTGTGTGTGTGTGTGTGTGTGTGTGTGTGTAGAACCTTTAAGTTGACTCTCTTAGCAGCTTTTAGGTATACAATGCAATATTGATAACTGTAGTCACTATACTATACACTCCAAATTCATCTTATAATTGAAAGTTTATATTCTTTGACCAACATCTCATCTCCCCCAGCCCCTAGTTCATTTACATTTTCTGTAATTACTAGAGGCCCATTGCATGGATTGTGCACCAGTGGGGTCCCTCTGCCTGGCCTCTGAGGATTGGGCCGAAACCAACTCTCCGACATCCCCCAAGGGGTCCTGGATTGTGAGAGGGCACAGACCAGGCAAAGGGGCCCCACTGTTGCACATTTGGGGCCTGGGAGGGAATGTGGCAGGGCTCCAGCATGTGTCCGGACCGTCTTGTCCAGTCCCAGTTGGGGCTGACCAGGGCCAGGTGGCTGGCCAGCAAGGTCCACGAGAGGTTGGCTGACCAGGGAGAGACCGCAAGAGAGTTTTAGGGCTTGTCTGGCCTATCTTACCCTGTCCTGATTGGCCAGACCCCAAGAGTGCATGGTGGTCAGTGTGCGTCATAGCTTCTGGTCAAACAGTCGAATGGTCAGACACTTAGCATATTAGGCTTTTATTATATAGGATTGGCAATGTTTGGGTTAAAATCTGTAATCTTTTAATTTTTAGATTTGTCTTATTTGCTCTTTGTACCTCCCTCCCTTTGGCCTTCCTTACCATCTTTTGGGCGGATCAAGTATTTTTTCAAGAATCAGGTGTTCTATTTGTCAAATTATGGCTATGGGTTAAATTACACTCGGCATATTCTGTCTAAGAAGGTTAGGAAGCATGCAGTAGTAAGTATATATATATTTAGTAGCATGTGTATTATACTTTATAGTTTGTTCTTTACAGTTTACAAATGCTTTCACATCTTATTAGATTTATCCTCTCAGCAGTCTTGAAAAAGGCAGGTAATATTATCCCCATGTTCTCAGTTGAGAGAGCCAAGGCTTAGTTACAGTTAAGTGGTTTAGTACAATACACAATTAGTAAGGGGTAAAATCTGGGCTTGACCACATATCCTTTGCCTCTAGATTCTCTCCCATTACGTCAGTTGCTTCAAACCATAATTTTTGGTGTTCTGGATTTCCAGGAGACACCTAATTCTCATACAATTGATGGAGTATTTCAGAGGGTCAGACATAATTACTACTCTATTTTAATTTTGAAGGAATCTAGAATATATATGGCTTATGGAGTGAAACTTGTTTTCATTATTCTCTTTTTATGAGTTTAGAATTTCTAAAAGAGTTATGAAACAACATTATAAGGAAAAATCATGTTATTTACATATATATTATTGATTTTTGTTTTTACAGAGAAGAAGGGAGAGGGATAGAGAGTTAGAAACATCAATGAGAGAGAAACATCAATCAGCTGTACATTCCGCAACCAAGGTACATTCCCTTGACCGAAATCGAACCTGGGGTCCTTTAGTCCACAGGCCGATGCTTTATCCACTGAGTCAAATCGGTTAGGGTCATGTGATTTATTTTGCTTATTAGATTTTTTTTCATAAACAGACTTTTAGTTTATATCCTGGCTTTCTAATTTGAATTACCATATATTCTCTGACTTTCAACAATGTCTCAAAACAGTTGGAGAATAAAATTACTTCTGACAAATACTATTTTGTATCTAACTTTTAAAAAGGCATATTTATTTTGTGTACTTTTCCAAGTTCAAAAAACTTTGAATTTAACACCTCCTACATAATTAGTTGTTGGGATAAAATATTGCTAAATCATAGGCTGCTAAGTTTACAATACATGTTGATTTAGTAAATGCTGTTTTCTTATTTTAATTTTTGTAACTGTAGTGCTTACTCAAGCTTCCAATTCTGGAGAGAAAAAAATTATTGACTGAGATATTTTAGAATTGTTTAAAGATACATATAAATGTAAAATGCAGAATTAGCCTGAAAAACATATGTCACATACCATTGTCTGTTGCCTAATAATTTACTGTAAACAAATAATAATGCTGATTGACTCAACATTTCCTCGCAGTATTTTATTAATAGGGACTTTACTTGTCAATAAAAGTACATTGATCTTTTCTCCTTATGAATCAATTTCTAAAATATTATTTTAGTTTTCTACTAAGGTGAAGAAGAATTCATTGCTTTAAAATGATTTAACATCAA